CTCCTCCACGTCTCCTGATGTACTGGCCTGTCTCCTGGTAGCGCCTCCATGCTCTGGACACTACGCTGACAGACACAGCAAACCTTCTTGCCACAGCTCGCATTGATGTGCCATCCTGGATGAGCTGCACTACCTGAGCCACTTGTGTGGGTTGTAGACTCCGTCTCATGCTACCACAAGGTAGGGGGGTATACAGAAGATAGCTTTATTTGGTAAAAGATCAAGTCCATATTATTTCAAGAACAGCTCAAATAAGCAAAGAGAAACGACAGTCCATCACTACTTTAAGAGATGAAGATCAGTCAATACGGACATTTCAAGAACTTTGAACGTTTCTTCAAGTGCAGTCGCAAAAATCATCAAGCTCTATGATGAAACTGGCTCTCATGAGGACCGCCACAGGAAAGGAAGACCCAGAGTTACCTCTGCTGCAGAGGATAAGTTCATTAGAGTTACCAGCCTCCGAAATTGCAGCCAAAATAAAGGCTTCACAGAGTTCAAGTAACAGACACATCTCAACATCAACTGTTTAGAGGAGACTGCGTGAATCAGGCCTTCGTGGTCGAATTGCTGCAAAGAAACCACTACTGAAGGACACCATTAAGAAGAGACCTGCTTGGGCCAAGAAACAGGAGTAATGGACATTAGACTGGTGGATATTTGTCCTTTGGTCTGGAGTCCAAATTGGAGATTTTTGGTTCAAACCGCCATGTCTTTGTGAGACGTGGTGTGGGTGAACAGATGATCTCTGCATGTGTAGTTCCCACCGTAAAGCATGGAGGAGGAGGTGTTATGGTGTGGGGGGTGCTGTCTGTGATTTATTTAGAATTCAAGGCACACTTAACCAGCATGGCTACCACAGCATTCTGCAGCGATACGCCATCTCATCTGGTTTGGGCTTAGTGGTACTATCATTTGTTTTTCAACAGGACAATGACCCAACACACCTCCATGCTGTGTAAGGGCTATTCTACCAAGAAGGAGCGTGATTGAGTGCTGCATCAGATGACTTGGCCTACACAATCCCCTGACCTCAACCCAAATGAGATGGTTTGGGATGAGTCGTATGGCAGAGTGAAGGAAAAGCAGCCAAAAAGTGCTCAGCATATGTGGGAACTCCTTCAAGACTGTTGGAAAAGCATTCCAGGTGAAGCTGGTTGAGAGAATGCAATGTGTGAAAAGCTGTCATCAAGGCAAAGTGTGGCTAATTGAAGAATCTCAAATATAACATATTTTGATTTGTTTAACACGTTTTTGCTTACTACGTGATTCCATATGTGTTATTTCATAGTTTTGATGTCTTCAGTATTTATCTACAATGTTTTTTTATATTTTTTATAAAGAAAACCCTTGAATTACATTTACACCATTTAGCAGATGCTCTTATCCAGAGCGACTTACAAATTGGTGCATTCAACTTATGATAGCCAATGGGACAACCACCTTTTTATTTTATGGGGGGTGGGGGAAGAAGGATTACTTCATACTATTCCAGGTATTCCTTAAAGAAGTATGGTTTCAAGTGTCTACTGAAGGTGGTCAGTGAGTAGGTGTGTCCAAAGTTTTGACTGGTAGTGTGTGTGTGTGTGTGTGTGTGTGTGTATATGTATATGTGTGTGTATGTATATACACACACACACACAACCGTTCAAAAGTTTGGGGTCACTTTGAAATGTCCTTGTTTTCGAAAGAAAATGTTTTTTTTTGTCCATTTAAAATAACAATATCAAATTGATCAGAAATACAGTGTATACATTGTTAATGTTGTAAATGGCTATTGTAGCTGGAAACGGCAGATTTTTACTGGAATATCTACATAGGCGTACAGAGGCCCATTATCAGTAATCCAAGTTTATCATTTTAAAACGCTAATTGATCATTAGAAAACCCTTTTGCAATTATGTTAGCACAGCTGAAAACTGTTGTGCTGATTAAAGAAGCAATAAAACTGGCCTTCTTGAGACTAGTTGAGTATCTAGAGCATCAGCAATTGTGGGTTCGATTACAGGCTCAAACAAAGAACCTTCTTCTGAAACTCGTCAGTATATTCTTGTTCTGAGAAATGACGGCTATTCCATGCGAGAAATTGCCAAAAAACTAAATCTCGTACAACGCTGTATACTACTCCCTTCACAGAACAGCGCAAACTGGCTCTAACCAGAATAGAAAGAGTGGGAGGACAAATACATTAGTGTCTAGTTTTAGAAACAGACACCTCACAGGTCCTCAACTGGCAGCTTCATTAAATAGTACACGCAAAACACCAGTCTCAACGTCAACAGTGAAGAGGCAACTCCGGGATGCTGACCTTCTAGGCAGAGTTGCAAAGAAAAAGCCATATCTCAGACTGCCCATCTTAATATTTTATTTTTATTGGCCAGTCTGAGATATGACTTTATTTTTTTGACATTTCAGCTTAATTCTTCAAAATAAAATAAAAACAATTCCAATTCGACATTATGGGGCATTGTATGTATGCCAGTGACCAAAAAATCTAAATATAATCTATTTTAAATTCTGTTTGTAAAAAGGCAAGGGGTGTGAATACTTTTCGAAGACACTATCATGGTTTTCAATACTCAATCAGTATATGATAGCAGCCACTTAAATATAGAAATCTACAACGTATGCTACCCATTCTTTGCTTCCCTGTGTGTCCTGCTCTTCCTTCTCCCTGACAGGTGGAGTTTCCTGAAGCGCGCATCTTTGAGGAGACCCTCAACATCCTCATCTATGAGAATGGGCGTGGTTCTGGCCCGGGAGGCGTGGCCCTTTTGGAGTCGTCATCACCTGGGGCCAGCCAATCCGAGGAGGAGGGGGCCAGCGCAGGGGACCGAAGGGTGAGGAGGATCCACGTGAGGAGGCACATCATGCACGACGAGAGAGGACACGGCCAACAGACTGTGTATAAGGACTGAGAAGAAATAATGAACTGTGGGGGTAAGGAGAGGATGAAGAGAGGGAGGGTTGTTTGGCGGCAGGGTGTTTGCATGGAGAGGTTAGGGTGGATGTTTAGTAGGGGGGGTGGGACAGGTTCTTATAAGGAAGGAGGTGTGTGGATGCTTATTACCAAGGACTGCAATATATATATATATACAATTTTTTTTTTTTTGCCTGATCGGAAAACAAAGGTGGGACTATTACACTAATCAACGTGCACACATTGGGGAGAAGGGTAGAGAGAATTGGACCAAAGCATAGGTCTGCAAATACCTAAGGGCCAGTTGGGGCTATCTCCCGACCAGGCTTGGGTGGTGGGAATGTGACTGGAAGATGGAGGGTTTCGCTGGTTCAACTAAGGTACTTTAACTCTGCACTAAAAGGGAACAGGGAGGGTGAAGTGGGGTGGTGATAGTAGGTTAGAGGAAACGTGACTGCTGAGCATCTGCTGGATGTTTATTCCTTTTGAATTGATTACTGTTGTATTTGTCTCTTTATTTGTTATTATTTTGTTAATTTGTCCTTTTTTTTTTATATAACTTTAAATAAATTATTTATTATTTATTCTGTATAGATGTTGGTGGGGATTGTGTGAGTGGTGAGGTGCTGAAAAAATGTTTTGACCAGTTTACACACTGATCGCTTTCTGAACCGACACTTGATGCCATGCTCATCCAATATGTTGAGGCAATGTGACGTATGGCCATGTCATGTTTAACGGCCATGTGAGTTCATGTTGACACATTGACGTGCTTAAACCATGTTTTAATATTTTTGTCCATGATGCTACCGTGCCTAATTGAAACAGGATTTCATGTTGGGTCTGATGGTGAAATCAGGCTTTATTTGGCTGTCTAAAAATCATTTTGATTAAGTCTTGGTATTCAATTTGGTACATATTCCTTTGTCACAGTAAAGTCTGATCACAAAAAGGGAAGGCCATTTTTTTCCCAGGTGAAATGTAAGAGGTGATCTGAACCTGGGAAGTGTTTTTGTATGTCCCAATGGTTATTATTGGACACTTGTTAACCCATAGACGCAAGTAATATGGCAGGTAAATCTCACATCCTAATCCTAGAAAAAAATGCTTGGGGCAGTCCTGGAATAAAACGCATTTGCAAATGTTTTTTGAATCCAGGACTAGGGGCGTAATCTGGGTCTAGGAAACGGCCCATAATGTCTGCCAAGATGCGCAAAACATATTTTTTCGTCAAATGTTCTTTATGATATTGTAACTGTCTGTGGTTTAGATATTTTATGGACCATCAACATTCTCAATAAAAGTCTAAAACCTGCATCTTGGTGTTTTGTGTGTTGGATTGAGTGGAAAATCCCACTCTTCCTGTCCTCTTAATCTTCTTGAATGGACAGAGGAATTTGCTTTCACCTTAACAATTTATTTACCATTAACGCAGGTGAATGACGAAGGCCATGTTATACTATTGAGATGCACCTCTAGGTAACTGTGGTAGAGCCAAACATACGGTAAATTGGTTAGGCCTGTTGTAAAATGTAATGAAACCAAATTAGCTTTTTGGTCTCAATTTAAGGTAGCAGTTTAGGTCAATGCTTGACTTCGACTGAAATAGTTGCTGGTGCTCATTTTGGGTGACTGCACTGTTTACATTTAGGTGAAGGAGCGCCACAATACTTTTCCTAAGATTCTATAATAGGAACAGAAGCTCAAGCAGTAGAAATGTTAAGGTGCCGGTACTCTGCTCCTATGAGCTCCTGCCTAAATCATGCACTTGGTTACATTTAAAATCAAATTTTAACAAATATTGTAGATATAGGCGGGGTTTAGCCATACTTGTGGCTGTGTTAACTAGTGACGAACCTAACATAGCAGGCGTAAAAAATAATTTAAAAAACTATCCGAATGGGAAAAATCATTTGAACGGTCATCCAACTCGGAATTCCAGAGCTCCAACCTGAAGATCACTGACGTCATGATTTGACCTCGATTTTTTGCGAGTTCCCAGTTGTCTTGAAAGCCACATGACGACACAAACATAGCAAGTACACGTAGCTAGTTGCGTCATTACGCTTACGCAATTTCGTGCCAAACCTAAAGGAGGGAAAAAAGCAAGAGGCAACATTATCTAGCTACATAAAATGTCAGCGGAAGAAACACAGATTCGGAGGTTCGTTTCTGGACAACTCCGTGAGTGTCCTGACCTGAGGTAAACTCCCTTTTGCAATTTCTTTAGACGAAATCATGCATGGAAATTCCTGCTAGCTTATGGTAAAGTTGTAAAATACCATAACCGCTCGTGCGTGGTTGTTGGCTTGCATGTGCCCCAGTATGTTGACGACGAGTATGCCGTGTCTCCTCTTTAACGCCCAGGGCCCGGTTTCCCAAAAACTAAGTTCATCGTTAGAACCTTCTTAGGAGCATTGTTAAGTCTCGAGCTGTCTCCCTAAACCATCTAAAGTTGCACTTGAAAACGCTCATTAATTACCGACTGCCTCAGACCACTCGTAAAACAGCCAGTGCCTCGTCCACAACACCCATAAGTACTTTTACATTTACATTTTAGTCATTTAGTAGACGCTCTTATCCAGAGCGACTTACAGTTAGTGAGTGCATACATCATTTTTTATACTGGCCCCCCCATGGGAATCGAACCCACAACCCTGGCGTTGCAAACGCCATGCTCTACCAACTGAGCTACATCCCTGCCGGCCATTCCCTCCCCTACCCTGGACGACGCTGGGCCAATTGTGCGCCGCCCCATTCGTTTAGTGATGCAGTTCGCGAACGATTCGTTATTTTTGAACGACTCTTTTTACTGACTCAAGAGTTATGATTCGTTTTTTTAATGACTCGTTCATAAAAGGCGATGTAAGGTCAATCAGAGGTCTGTATTGGCCATGCAGCATTTACGGTGATACGGCCTCTGCAGAAGTCATAGCATTCATACTACACAGAGCACTTGTGAAGGAAGTTGTCTTCTTCTGTGGGTTTTATGGCAGACTACAATCGAAAAACCTTTATTGCCGCCACCAACTGGACGGGTTGAAACCAAAACAAGGTAAAAAGAAAACCCATACATAATAGGGAAACTAACATAATCCACCCAAATAAAAATAGTACATTGACAAAACAAAACTCCCACTTCTTCCAATTCTCCATATCTCCCTTCTCAGGCTCTAGGGACTGAGAGGGTGGTACGGTTTGTGACAATATTCCATGTAACTCCTTCGCCAATAAATCTTTTAAGCCCCAGGAACCTCTCCGCCGCTTCCACAATGATTTCTATCTTCCTGGACCTTCTCTCCACCTTGGCAGTGCCATTAATCACCATAGCTATAAAGGCCACGAAGTCCACCTTCTTAACCTTTAAAATGTCAGGATCCTGCTGGTGAAAGGCAACCCCTGAAGCCTGCAGTGAAGGCCTATCCACCACCATGGACTCTTCAAGTGCACCATTCAAACCCTTAACCCATTAACAGCTGCTGCATAAGAAATGCTCTGGATAGCCCTGACTTTGGCCACCTCATTCTCTTTCACCCTTGTCGGGCATTCAAAAGACGTGGCTTCATGGTTCCCACCACAATTGCAACATGTCACATTTACATCACTTTTATAACACATAACATGGTATTTTCCACAACTTGGACATATTGGCTTCTCCCTTCTGCAAACACTTGAAACATGACCAAAAACTTTACAGTGATCACACTGCATTGGTCTTGGGATAGATGCTCTGACTCTGTAGTTAATATACCCTAACTGCACTTGAGTAGGGAGAGACTCAATATAAAAATAAAAAAAAGAACAAACTCTTCACTTTTTCTTCATTCACCACCCGATTCATCCGACCTGCATCAATCACTCCAGGAATATTTTTCATCTCTTCAAAATCTACTTCCCACGAGACTCCAAAGATAACCCCCTTGAGGGGTGCCTTGTTCCTAAGAGACACGCATGACACTTCACAAGACATGTTTCTTCTGATCCTCAGAAGCACAAAAAATCAAAACCAGCCCACCTCTCGTGATCCTCACAGCCTTCACTCTACCCAGCACACCACCAGTTTGGATATCTCAAATGGATTCCTCAAGATTGGTAATTCGATCAGCTGCTCCTCATTTACAAACCGTACTCCTACAAGATACGAAGTGACATTCTCATCTACTTTTCTCAATTTTCCATTCTTTTGGACAATATTCTGATTCTCCTTGATTCTACCGCCATTAGATTCAGAATCCACTTCATCATCCACTTCCGCCATATTTTTTCCGTCCGACATCCTACACATGAAAAACTTGTCCGGCCAAGTTTCCCTGAAACTAGATCTTCCTGCTTCGAAGGACCTCCCGCCCCCACCTACCGCCAACCAATCATGTCAATGCGGAGCTATATGGAGGCCTCCGCATTGTTACAACATTTGGGAGGCGCATGGCGATGCGGTACGGTGCTCAATTTGGCCTCTGGACGTTACACAATTACGTGGTCCTCTGTAGCTCAGCTGGTAGAGCACGGCGCTTGTAACGCCAGGGTAGTGGGTTCGATCCCCGGGACCACCCATACACAAAAATGTATGCACACATGACTGTAAGTCGCTTTGGATAAAAGTGTCTGCTAAATGGCATATTATTATATTATATTATTGCGTCACACCCTCCAGAGCCTCCGACCACATTTCAGATCAAGCATAAATTGGCTTTTAGATGTTAGTTCCACCTGCTAGTGCTGGCCGCAATATTGCTACCATGCTGTTTGTCTTAGGTCTCTCTTTATGTAGTGTTGTGGTGTCCCTCTTGTCGTGATGTGTGTTCTTGTCCTATATATTTGTTTTTTCTTCTCATTTTTAATTCCAGCCCCTTCCCTGCTGGAGGCCTTTTGCCTTTTGGTAGGCCGTCATTGTAAATAAGAATTTGTTTTTAACTGACTTGCCTAGTTAAATAAAGATAAATGACTAAATGTAGCTAACATTAGATAGTAAATTCAGAGATTTTTCCTTTTGCCTCTATACGGCAGTCTCGTCCAGATCATCATGGCATTGGTAATTCTTTGATAGCCACATTAGCAGCTAATTAGCGCTTAATTTTGGGGGGTGTAAATACAGGTGAATATATTGATAAAAGTGAACTTGTCCTAGAGAGAATTACATGGTTATCAAAACGTCACGCCAGGATAAGCCTACACGAAACACAGCTTTTATTTTAAGTGGTTCTAAAATCCCCTATGAAAAAATGAATGGTGGTCCTCCTGAGTGGCACAGCGGTCTAAGGCACTGCATCGCAGTGCTTGAGGCGTCACTACAAACCCGGGTTCGATCCCAGGCTGTGTCGCAGCTGGCCGCGACCAGGAGACCCATGACGTGGTGCACAATTGGCCCAGCGTCGTCCAGGTTAGGGGAGGGTTTGGCCGGCCGGGATGTCCTTGTCTCATCGCGCTCTAGCGACTCATTGTGGCGGGCCGGGCGCATGCACACTGACCCGGTCGCCAATTGTACGGTGTTTCCTCCGACACATTGGTGTGGCTGGCTTCCGGGTTAATCGAGCAGTGTGTCAAGAAGCAGTGTGGCTTGGCAGGGTCGTGTTTTTTTTAGGATTCATGGCTCTCAACCTTCACGTCTCCCGAGTCCGTATGGGAGTTGCAGCGATGGGACAAGACTGTAACTACCAATTTGTACAGGAAAAAAAACATGAATGGTGGACAAACGATTGGAACCATTTCCTTGTTTGACCGCTAGGTTTAATGAGTATTATGACTCATATTGTGGTACTCAGTCTGCCATATGTCTACCAGATGCACATGCGTTTTGCCATATGTTGTTTTTACCGGATGTCTAGTCCGCATTTTCCCTACTTGATGCACATGTGCTTCGCAAGGCAGCAGAACAGTTCGCAGCATGGAGAATACTATTTTCGCCCTGTTCGAACAAAGCTAATAATTAGAACAAATGGAAGATATTCTCCTATCGACTGACCTACTGGTGTCATAGGCTGGCAGAGCTACCAACATACTGGCGTGCACAAGGGCGCATTACAACAATTTAATCTATTTTGTTTCTACAGTGCATTCGGAAAGTATTCAGACCCTTTGACTTTTTCCACATTTTGTTATCCTACAGCCTTATTCTGAAATGGATTAAAAAAAAAAAAATGTGCTCATCAATCTACACACAATACCCCATAATGACAAAGCGAAAACAGGTTTTTAGGAATCTTTGCTAAATAAAAAACATACCTTATTTACATAAGTATTCAGATCCTTTGTTATGAGACTCGAAATTGAGCTCTGGTGCATCCTGTTTCCATTGATCATCCTTGAGACGTTTCTACAACCTAATTGGAGTCCACCTGTGGTAAACTCAATTGATTGGACATGATTTGGAAAGGCACACACCTGTCTGTATAAGGTCCCACAGTTGACAGTGCATGTCAGAGCAAGAACCAAGCCATGTGGTCCTCTGTAGCTCAATTGGTAGAGCATGGCGCTTGTAACGCCAGGGTAGTGGGTTCGATCCCCGGGACCACCCATACGTAAAAACGTATGCACACATGACTGTAAGTCGCTTTGGATAAAAGCGTCTGCTAAATGGCATATTATTATTATTATTATTATTATGAGGTCGAAGGAATTGTCCAGAGAGCTCCGAGACAGGATTGTATCGAGGCACAGATCTGGGGAGGTACCAAAAAATGTCTGCAGCATTGAATGTCCCCAAGAACACAGTGGCCTCCATCATTCTTAAATGGAAGAAGTTTGGAACCACCAAGACTCTTCCTAGAGCTGGCCACCTGGCCAAACTGAGCAATCGGAGGAGAAGGTCCTTGGTCATGGAGGTGACCAAGAACCCGATGGTCACTCTGACAGAGCTCCAGAGTTCCTCTGTGGAGATGGGAGAACCTTCCAGAAGGACAACCATCTCTGCAGCACTCCACCAATCAGGCCTTTATTCTAGTAGCCAGACGGAAGCCACTCCTCAGTAAAAGGTACATGACAGCCCGCTTGGAGTTTGCCAAAAGGCACCTAAAGGACTCTCAGACCATGAGAAACAATTTTCTCTGGTCTGATGAAATCAAGTTTGAACTCTTAGGCCTGAATGCGAAGCGTCACGTCTGGAGGAAACCAGGCACCGCTCATCAATCCCTACGGTGAAGCATGGTGGTGGCAGCATCATGCTGTGGGGATGTTTTTTCAGCGGCAGGGACTGGGAGACTAGTCAGGATTGAGGGAAAGATGAACGGAGCGAAGTACAGAGAGATCCTTTATGAAAATCTGCTCCAGAGCACTCAGGACCTCAGACTGGGGCCAAGGTTCACCTTACAACAGGACAACGACCCTAAGCACACAGCCAAGACAACGCAGGAGTGACTTCGGGACAAGTCTCTCAATGTCCTTGAGTGGCCCAGCCAGACCCCGGACTTGAACTCGATCGAACATCTCTGGAGAGACCTGAAAATAGCTGTGCAGCGACGCTCCCCATCTAACCTAACAGAGCTTGAGAGGATCTGCAGAGAAGAATGGGAGAAACTGCCCAAATACAGGGGCGCCAAGCTTGTAGCGTCATACTCAAGGCTGTAATCGTTGCCAAAGGTGCTTCAACAAAGTACTGAGTAAAGGGTCTGAATACTTATGTAAATGTACTTTGTTGTTATGGGGTGTTGTGTGTAGATTGATGAGGGGAAAAAACTATTTAATCAATTTTCGAATAAGGCTGTAACTAAACAAAATTTGGGAAAAGTGAAGGGGTCTGAATACGTTCTGAATGCACTATATATCAGAAGTGGCAGGGCTGCTGATTTTAAGGCTTTTACACTGGTGAGTTCCAACTTCCCAGGGATACTTTTTACAACCTCTGCAAATACCAAAGTTGCCAATAAAGTACTATGTACTGTACCCACATCATATTCGTTTTGGGTAAGATTATTCTTGAAACATTCCAAAGAATATACCATACTGTCAGTTTCCATTCTCTGTTTCATTCAAAATGTATGTGTATTTATTTTCTTTATTTTTTCTGTCTCCTAGCACATTGACTCTTGCCATCTTAAGAGGGCGGTATTTGGCATCTGTTGGCCGGGACTCACTAAGCCAGGAGGACAGACAGTTGATGAAGAGAGTGGTAGAGGAGGAACTGATGAGGATGCAGGTAAAGATGTTCGTGAGTTGATATGATTTTGTCAATCAATACATCTCCCTCAGACCTGGATCAAGTACTTTAATTGCACTCAATTTAGTTTGCCCAGTACAATGGAACCAATTGAATAGTCTCAAAAGTGCAAACCCTCAACCTAAATCAAGCAGACTGCAAGTACTTTCATGTGTAGGCTATGTCTGTATGTATTTGTAAGTAAAGATTTTGACATGTATTTGACCCAGAACTGCTGTCCTACCATTTTTCACAGTTTGATGCCCCATAACTTTTGATAAAATACTTCCTTTCTCCATTGATTACACACAGATCTGAAGTTATTAGGTGAAAAGATCTTGGGTGGTCAGGAGTGTGAATTTTAAAGTACAGTTCTTAAATACACTGAATAAAAATCTAAACACAACATGTAAAGTGTTGGTCCCATGTTTCATGAGCTGAAAAAAAGATCCCAGAAATTTTCCAGACTCACAAAAAGCTTATTTCTCACATTTTGTGCACAAATGTCTTTACATTCCTGTTAGTGAGCATTCCTCCTTTGCCAAGATAATCCATCCACCTGACAGGTGTGGCATATCAAGAAGCTGATTAAACAGCATGATCATTACAGAGGTGCACCTTGTGCTGGGGACAATAAAAGGCCACTCTAAAATGTGCAGTTTTGTCACACAACACAATGCCACAGATGTCTCAAGTTTTGAGGGAGTGTGCAATTGGCATGCTGACATTTCTCTACCATAAACTGCCTCCAACATCTTTTTGGAGAATTTGGCAGTACGTCCAACCAGCCTCACAACCGCAGACCATGTGTAACCATGAAAGCCCAGGACCTCCACATCCGGCTTCTTCACCCGGACAGCTGATGAAACTGTGGGTTTGCACAACTGAAGAATTTCTTCACAAACTCTCAGAAGCTCATCTGCGTCCTCGTCGTCTCACCAGGGTCTTGACCTGACTGCAGTTTGTCGTCGTAACTGACTTCAGTGGGCAAATGCTCACCTTCGATGACCATTGGCACGCTGGAGAAGTGTGCTCTTCATGGATGAATACCGGTTTCAACTTTACCTGGCAGATGGCAGACAGCGTGTAAAGCGTCGTTTGGGCGTCTGATGTCAACGTTGTGAACCGAGTACTCCATGGTAGGGTTATGGTATGGGCAGGCATAAACTATGGACAACGAACACAATTGCATTTTGTCGATGGCAATTTTAATGCGTTGTCGTGCCATTCATCCGCCTCCATCACTTCATGTTTCAGCACGATAATACACGGCCCCATGTCACAAGGATCTGTACACAATTCCTGGAAGCTGAAAATGTCCCAGTTCTTCCATGGCTTGCATACTCACCAGACATGTCACCCATTGAGCATGTTTGGGATGCTCTGGATCGACGTGTACGACAGCGTGTTCCAGTTCCCGCCAATATCCAGCAACTTCCCACAGCCATTGAAGAGGAGTGGGACAACATTCCACAGGCCACAATCAACAGCCTGATCAACTCTATGCAAAGGAGATGTGTCGCGCTGCATGAGGCAAATGGTGGTCACACCAGACTGACTGGTTTGTTGATCCATGCCCCTAGATTTTTTTTATATATATATTTTTTTAGGTATCTGTGACCAACAGATGCATGTCTGTATTCCCAGCCATGTGAAATCCATAGATTAGGGCCTAATGAATGTACAGTGCATTCGGAAAATATTCAGACCCTTTGACTTTTTCCACAATTTGTTACATTACAGCCATATTCTAAAATGGATTAAGTAGTTTTTCCCCCCCCTCCTCAATCTACACGCACTATCCCATATTGACAAAGCAAAAACTGGTTTTTAGAAATGTTAGTAAAAAATGTTTACTGAAAGAACACATTTACATAAGAATTCAAACCCTTTGCTCAGTACTTTGTTGAAGCACCTTTGGCAGCGATTACAGCCTAGTCTTCTTGGGTATGACGCTACAAGCTTGGCACACCTGTATTTGGGGAGTTTCTCCCATTCTTCTCTGCAGACGCTCTTATGCTCTGTCAGGTTGGATGGGGAGCGTCGCTGCACAGCTATTTTCAGGTCTCTCCCGATGTGTTCAATCGGATTCATGTCCGGGCTCTGGCTGGGCCACTCAAGGACATTCAGAGACTTGTCCCGAAGCCACTCCTGCGCTGTCTTGGCTGTGTGCTTAGGGTCATTGTCCTGTTGGAAGGTGAACCTTCGCCCCATTCTGAGGTCCTGAGCGCTCTGGAGCAGGTTTTCATCAAGGATCTCTCTGTACTTTGCTCTGTTAATCTTTCCCTTGATCCTGACTAGTCTCCCAGTCCCTGCCCCTGAAAAACATTCCCACAGCATCATGCTGCCACCACCATGCTTCACCGTAGGGATGGTGGCAGTTTTCCTCCAGACGTGACACTTGGCATTCAGGCCTACGAGTTCAATTTTGGTTTCATCAGACCAGAGAATCTTGTTTCTCATGGTCTGAGAGTCTTTAGGTGGCTTTTGGCAATCTCCAAGTGGGCTGTCGTGCCTTTTACTGAGGAGTGGCTTCCGCCTGGCCACTCTACCATAAAGGCCTGATTGCTGGAGGGCTGCAGAGATGGTTGTCCTTCTGGAAGGTTCTCCCATCTCCACAGAGGAACTCTGGAGCTCTGTCAGAGTGACCATCGGGTTCTTGGTCACCTCCCTGACCAAGGCCCTTCTCCCCCGATTGCTCCGTTTGGCCAGGTGGCCAGCTCTAGGAAGAGTCTTGGTGGTTCCAAACTTCTTCCATTTAAGAATGATGGAGGCCACTGTGTTCTTGGGGACCTTCAATGCTGCAGACATTTTTTGGTACCCTTCCCCAGATCTGTGCCTTGACACAATCCTTTCTGAGGTCTATGGACAATTCCTTCGACCTCATGGCTTGGTTTTTGCTCTGACATGCACTGTCAACTGTGGGAGTTTATATAGACAGGTGTGTGCCTTCCCAAATAATGTCCAATCAATTTAATTTACCACAGGTGGACTCCAATCAAGTTGTTCAAACATCTCAAGGATGATCAATGAAACAGGATGCACCTGAGCTCAATTTCAAGTCTCATAGCAAAGGGTCTGAATACATTTGTAAATAAGGTATTTCAGTTTTTTATTTTTAATAAATGTGCAAACATTTCTAAACCAGTTTTTGCTTTGTCTTTATGGGGTATTGTGTGTAGATTGAGGAAAAAAATTAATTTAATCCATTTTAGAATAAGGCTGTAATGTAACAAAATGTGGAAAAAGTCAAGGGGTCTGAAAACTTTCACTGTATTTCAATTGACTGATTTCCTTATGAACTGTAACTCAGTAAAATATTTCTAATTGTTGTGTTTTATATTTTAGTTCAGTGTAGTTTACTTCGGATGAGAACTCGCTACAGTTTTCCAGTCCCAATTAAATTACATTCATTTTCATTGCTCCTGGTATGTGCATGGTCCGTTTCGGTGCATGCTGTCACGACAGTCCTGAGCTGTTGCATTTTTCAGGAGTTCTCGATTGGAGCTGGTCTCGATTGTAATCTGACCTGGGACCTCTGCCCCTCTCTCAGGACAGTGACAGTAGTGACGATGAAGCCATTCTCGACGTTACCCCGATGCCTCGCCACAACAAGCGGAACAGGGGTGAGGAGAAAGGAGGCAGGACCAAAGCAGAAGAATCCAAGGCAAAGCGATCTAGACTTCATTCGGCCCAATCGGGTAATTTCCAATAGTAGTGGCTCTTGGGTAAAATTCTCCTCACTCTAAACGGCACAGAAATAGTCCGTAGTACTATTTATTGATTTCTATATACACTGTGTGCACAATTATTAGGCAAGTTGTATGTTTGAGGATTAATTTGATTTTTGAACAACTGCAGTGCTCTCGGTCAATCCAAAATGTTAATAAACCTCAAACCTGAATATTTAATAAAGTAAAAGTGAGGTTTTGGCTTTCTTTGGAGAATATCTATGTGTGCAGAATTATTGGGCAATTATTAGTGTGCAGAATTATTATGCAACAAAATGAAAAACGAAAAGGTCCCCATCTCACTCGTTTATTTTCATCTGTTAAAGTGAGAATAATAAACAAACAACTCAATGTACAAATAAACATTTCTGACATTTCAAATAAAAATCAGTGACCAATATAGCCACCCTTCTTTTCAATATCAGTCATAAGCCTTCCATCCATGGAGTATGTCAGTTTCTTGATCTGTTGACGATCAACCTTTTGTGCAGCAGCAACCACAGCCTCCCAGACACTGGTCAGAGAGGGGTACTGTTTTCCTTCACCGTAAATTGACCGTTTAAGAAGTGACCACAAGTTCTCAATAGGGTTTAGGTCAGGAGAGGAAGGGGGCCATGTCATTATTCTTTCATCTTTAAGGCCTTTACTGGCTAGCCACGCAGTGGAGTACTTCGATGCATGTGATGGAGCATTGTTCTGCATAAAAATCATGGTCTTCTTGAAAGATGCAGACTTTTTCCTGTACCACTGCTTGAAGAAAGTGTCTTCTAAAAACTGGCAGTAGGTTTGGGAGTTGAGTTTGAGTGCATCTTCAACCCGAAAAGGTCCAACTTGCTCATCTTTAATAATACCAGCCCATACCAGTACCCCACCTCCACCTTGCTTGCGTCTGAGTCGAAGTGGAGCTCCATGCCCGTTACTGATCCAGCCACGGGCCCATCCATCTGGTCCGTCAAGTGTCACGCTCATCTCATCAGTCCATAAAACCTTTGAAAAATCTGTCTTCAGATATTTCTTGGCCCAGTCTTGACGTTTCAATGTATGTGTCTTGTTCAGTGGTGGTCGGGTTTCAGCCTTCCTTACCTTGGCCATGTCTCTGAGCACTGAACACCTTGTACTTCTGGGCACTCCAGATAGGTTGCAGTTCTGGAATATGACAGCACTGGAGGATAATTGGTTCCTGGTAGCTTCACGTTTGATTCTTCAGTTAATTTGAGTCTTTTTATCTGAACACGGTTCTTGCGACCCTGTTGACTATTTGCAACAAAACGTTTGATGGTTCTGTGATCACGCCCCAATATCTTAGCAATTTCAAGAGTGCTGCATCCCTCTGAAATACTTTTTTAAAATGTTTGACTTTTCAGAGTCAGTTAAATCTATTTTTTGGCCAATTTTGCCTGAGGAAAATAAGCTGCCTAATAATTATACACACCTTGATATAGGGTGTTGATCTCCTTAGGCCACACCCTCCCTCATTACACAAATACACATCACCTGATATGCTTAAATCCAATAAGCATTCCAGTTTATACAGCTTGGAGTTGGGAAATATGCATAATAATGATGATATGGTCAAAATACTGACTTGCCTAATAATTGTGCACACAGTGTATATTAAACTTTTTGTTTAAGATGTCTGTGAAAAGCTATATTATTCATTAACCTGAGTGAAAATATGTTGCGAATTGTCCACAACTCAACATATATTATGTGTGCAGTCCCATCTATGTTTTTAATTATAGCGGTGCAAAGAAAATGCTGCCCTTTGTCATAGTGAAAGCCCACAGTGTGTGCTGCAGTTCATATTGCTGGTCAAACATTAACTTGAGACACACATTGCCTATTATGAACCTATTATGAAGTCTTGAGCCTCATCCCATGATTTGTTTTAAAGAATTAAGACTTACCATATAATAAATTGTGATGGCCACTGTATTTGAAGCAATATTTTCTCCAAATCTAATTTAGCGATTGATTAAAAAAAATCTCTTTCAAACAATTTAAGATTCCCCAGATTCTGGAATAGAGAGAGTGGGAAATGGAGAAGGGCAGAGAGAGGAAGAAGAGGAGGAGAAGGACATGGGAAGTGATGTAGAGGATGATCAAGTTTCCCAAACCGGCACCAAGAAGAAAAGGGGGGGACACAAAGGAGTACACAATGGTGGGGAGACGGAAATTAGCTCAGAGAGTGAGGTTGAGATCAAAACGGTGAATCGGAGGAAGAGAGAACAAGACTCTGATGAAGTTGAGGAGAACAAAAAGAAGAAACAAGGGGATGAAACCAACAAACAGGAAAAGGACAAAGTCAATTCAGACAGGGACTCTGAAGAGGATAAAAAACAGAAAAGGAAACGAAGAATGGGAGGAAAAAATGTGGATGTGAAAGTGCAGAGCAAGGGTTCAAAAGGGACCAGAAGGAGGGAGAGTGGAAATGAGGAAAAGAAGGGAAAACCATTGCGGAGAAGAGAGAGAGTGCAGGTTGTTGGGAGTGACTCGGAGCGCATTGGAGAGGCCAAAGTAATGGAACAGAACAGGGTAGAAAGACAAAGAAATGACGACGACTCCAGGTCAGAGAGTGAGGGAGAAAATAATGCATCTTCAGAGGAAGCCAGCGGGGGAGAGGGTGAGTTATGAACTTTGTGTGTTCATGTGCATGCATAATGTATCCTAGGAAAGGCCCAAACATAGCGAAAAATCCAGGGATAGGATACCATTACGTAGCCCTAATGACAAGGGTTAAAGTAATGTAATATTTCCCCCTCCCTAAAGTTTTTTTCCCCCCCTCCTTCTCAGAGGAAACCGAGGAAGTGATGGCTAAGACGAAGGATGAGCCAGCCCAGGACTCCGACTCTGGCTCATCCCTCCCAGCATTGGAGGACGAAAAGGAAAGTGAGGACGTCAGGCCAGAACAGGTGAAAAAGAGGAAGCCTGTGGCGAAGCAGCCAATAAAGGACGAGGGCAGTGAGCGTGCATCCAAAGGAGGAAAGGTGAGGCCAGCGGCTGTTTCTATGCCAATTCAAGCACACAGTAGGCACATGGGTAGTTGCCAACACATTTTCACATTCGCATTGTACGCCGCATCAGACCTGGTTCAAATACTCAAGTAGATCTGAAGGTATTGGATCAATATAATACGCAGTATGGTGAAAATTGCGAGCCAAAGGCAAGGTGGAGCTACTACTGTATTGCCCATGCGTCGCCAAATCCCTTCTGATCTATTCAAAGTGTTGCCTGGAAACCCGACGTTGAATTGCATAGACTTCTACGTTGGGCAGAAATTCGCGTTTTGAATCAGGAAAGTTTCCCATCACGACCTCTACACGACAATGTTAAATACAATTTTATTTGTAATTGTACTTTCCTGTGGATATATTGTCTCGCATTCCTACCACCAAAAGGACCAACCGCACGGACAACTGGTAAAGTATGTTAAAATATAATTTTATTCAACATTCTGGTTTGTAGAGGTTGTGAGAGGAAACTTTCCTGATTTTAAACGCTCATTTCTGCCTGACGTACAATGCAATGTCTGGTTTCCAGGCAATACAAAGTGTAGAGGCAAGGGGCTCTTCCTGGACTCTGCCTTAGCCTAATCCTGGAAATATGTGCTCCATCCATGTAACATGAAGGACGACGAGGCGAAGGCGGTGACCAGGCTGAGGCGTTACATCGCCCTCTGTGGTGTGAGACGGAACTACAAGAAGCTCCTGGATGGCTGCCACTCCATCAAGTCAAAGGTGGCTGTGCTGAAGAGGGAGCTTGAAGAACTGGGTGTCAAAGGTAATTGGAGGGGCAGGGGTGATGAATTCTAATTCTCTCATTTGGTCCGTATGCCCTCGCTCACTCCACCAAATTGAAAATATTTCAAAGGACTGGATAGATTGTACACATTAGCGCCATGTAGCCTATAGATTGGTTAAAGGGCGAATCCACTATATTGTTTACACCCATCTGATGCTTTTAAAGTCCTGTTTATACCTGGCGCTAACAGGTGTCCTTTGTCCTGATCTTGTCGACATTCTGATTGTGCCCACATTTTCATACACATGGTATAAAAATATCTGTCCACTGTGCCCGCATTTTGACCAGATTTCCAGGTCCTTGCCTGTATGCATAATTATTTTAATAATATGAATGTATTTATTTTAAGACTCTTATTGATGCCATAAGTCAATGGTGCCACCTGTCAATGATTTAGAGGGTGGGATAATGATGATTTAAAATGGTTTCACTGTCCAGATGTGTCTACACTGGTAAGTTATCCAGACACGATGCATGCCTGACTACCTCTGAAGGTGATCAGGATGATCTGATCACAATGAGTCTTTTAATCGTCTACACCTGTATACAAATTTGGGGACAATCAGAATGTGGACAAGATTAGTACAAAGGACACATTTGCACCAGGTATAAAAGGGGCTTATATCCATGAGGTGGAGTGAGCCATGGTGGAATCGCTGGACAGTGGAAAACTTGCTGGGAACTAATGGCTTCTGTCTCTCCCCTCAGGCCAGCCTTCTATAGAGAAGTGTAGGAATGCCAGACTTGAGAGAGAGGAGGCTCAGGAGTTGGCAGACCTAGATGTCAGCAACATCATAACCACACAAGGTGACATTTTCGCCCACTCCTAAATCAACTGCTTGCCTCTAGATCTTAGCTGATTGCATACCTGACCATGAACTCTGATTGGCAAGGTGGATGTTTTTCTGTTCAATTGCTTTAATAATCTTATCCAATCCTCTCAATCTTTGTTTAAACTTTTGGTACAAGGAATAAGTGTTAGAGCACAAACTGTAGATCTGAACTCAAACTGTAGATCAAATGGACAATAAAGTAAATAAAGTTAGAATGGTTGTAAAAAATAAACCTAAGTAGCAATAAACAGGGTGTCCGCGGGTCCTTAGTCTTAAGTTCATTTATCTGATTTTTAAAGGCCTTAATAAGTCTTAATGTAATATATTCCGTTTTCAAAGGTCTTCGTACATGCGATGGAGATGACTACATTGTTTCCTTTATATTGTGCCACTGCTTAATTGTTGCCACCATGCCTATTAATTTTTTTACATCAAATAATACTTGAGGCGCACTTTCAAGACGTTCGAGAGCCCTCCGCATGTGCACCTCTGCGTGTGCACATAATGTGTGTGTGCGAGTAGAGCGAAGAGAACAAGGTAGCCTATACAATTTGATAGACCACAACATTAACTAGAGTTGTCCTCTTACCGAATACATTTTGCTTACGTCGGTGATTATGCTACACAACGTTCCTGCAGATTTTTTTGGGTTCTAAAACCATTCTTTTGTCAACAGTAAGGTGCATTAACTTGCTTCCTGCAATGAAATGATCTGCCCTGTCCCTATTTCGCATCTGGCTCTCACTCCCGCTCCCCCTTTGCACGCAGAGTAAAGGGAGAGCTGCATTCTGATAAGCGCAACAGTTGAACAACATTTGAAAATGTAATTGCGGGAAATAGTTTTTTAAACAACGACTGTTACTATTAAAGAGGAGAGTGTGAGTATAGCATTCATTATTTCTCAACTGTAAATATAGAGGAAGTTACACCACTTTACCAACTGAGTGTGTAATTGAGATAGGGCTGACACCATTTAGTCAACTGGTCGACTGTTTGGTCGATAGGCTGTTGGTCGACCGAGATTTCTTAAGTCGAGCAGTTGCAAAAAATAATAAATATAAATTCAGCAAAAAAAGAAACGTCCCTTTTTGGAACGGTCGTTAAGACACTAACAGCTTACAGACGGTAGGCAATTAAGGTCACAGTTATGAAAACTTAGGACACTAAAGAGGCCTTTCTACTGACTCTGAAAAACACCAAGGTCCCTGCTCATCTGCGTGAACGTGCCTTAGGCATGTGCAAGGAGGCATGAGGACTTCAGATGTGGCCAGGGCAATAAATTGCAATGTCCATACTGTGAGACGCCTAAGACAGCGCTACAGGGAGACAGGACGGACAGCTGATCATCCTCGCAGTGGCAGACCACGTGAAACAACACCTGCACAGGATTGGTACATCTCAAATGACTGCCTCGCCTGGTTCACCAACTACTTCTCAGATAGAGTTCAATGTGTTAAATAGGAGGGCCTGTTGTCTGGACCTATGGCAGTCTATGGGGGTGCCATAGGGTTCAATTCTCGGGCTGACTCTATTCTCTGTGTATATCAATGATGTCGCTCTTGCTGCTGGTGACTCTCAGATCCACCTCTATGCAGACGACACCATTTTGTATACATCTGGCCCTTCATTGGACACTGTTAACAAACCTCCAAACTAGCTTCAATGCCATAAAACACTCCTTCCGTAGCCTCCAACTGCTCTTAAACACTAGTAAAACTAAATGCATGCTCTTCAATCGAACACTGCTGGCACCCGCCCGCCCGACTAGAATCGTTTCTCTCGGCGGGTCTGACCTAGAGTATGTGGACAACTACAAATACCTAGGTGTCTGGTTAGACTGTAAACTATCCTTTCAGACTCACATTAAGCATCTCCAATCCAAAGTTAAATCTAGAATCGGCTTCCTATTTCGCAACAAAGCCTCCTTCACTCATGCTGCCAAACATGCCCTCGTTAAACTGACTAGCCTTCTGATCCTTGACTTCGGCGATGTCATTTACAAAATAGCCTCCAACACTCTACTCAGCAAATTGGATGTAGTCTATCACAGTGCCATCCGTTTTGTCACCAAAGTCCCATATACTACCCACCACTGTGAACTGTACGCTCTTGTTGGCTGGTCCTCACTACATATTCGTCACCAAACCCACTGGCTCCAGGTCATCTATAAATCACTGCTAGGCAAATCCCCGCCTTATCTTAGCTCATTGGTCACCATAGCAACACCCACCCGTAGTATACGCTCCAGCAGGTATATCTCACTGGTCATCCCCAAAGCCAACACATTTACATTACATTTACGTCATTTAGCAGACGCTCTTATCCAGAGCGACTTACAGTTAGTGAATATATATATATATATATAAAATTTATTTTATTTATTTTCACCTCCTTTGGCCGTCATTCCTTCCAGTTCTCTGCTGCCAATGACTGGAACGAACTGCAAAAATCTCTGAAGCTGGAGACCCTTATCTCCCTCACTAACTTTATTCATCAGTTGTCAGAGCACCTTACCGATCACTGCACCTGTACACAGCCCATCTGAAATTAGCCCACCCAAATACCTCATCCCCATATTGTTATTTATTTTGCTCATTTGCACCCCAGTATCTCTATTTGCACATCCATCTCTTGCACATCTATCATTCCAGTGTTAATACTAAATTGTAATTATTTTGCACTATGGCCTATTTATTGCCTTACCTCCATAACTTGCTACATTTGCACACACTGTATATATATTTTCTGTTGTATTTCTGACTTTGTTTTGTTTACCCCATATGTAACTCTGTGTTGTTTTTTATCGCACTGCTTTGCTTTATCTTGGCCAGGTCGCAGTTGTAAATGAGAACTTGTTCTCAACTGGCTTACCTGGTTAAATAAAGGTAAAATAAAATAAATAAACACCTGCGGGACAGGTACGGGATGGCAACAACAACTGCCTGAGTTACACCAGGAACGCACAATCCCTCCATCAGTGCTCAGACTGTCCGCAATAGGCTGAGAGAGGCTGGACTGAGGGCTTGTAGGCCTGTTGTAAGGCAGGTCCTGACCAGACATCACCGGCAACAACGTCGCCTATGGGCACAAACACACTGTCACTGGACCAGACAGGACTGGCCAAAAGTGCTCTTCACTGACGAGTCGCGGTTTTGTCTCACCAGGGGTGATGGTTGGATTCGCGTTTATCGTCGAAGGAATGAGCGTTACACCGAGGCCTGTACTCTGGAGCGGGATCGATTTGGAGGTGGAGGGTCCGTCATGGTCTGGGGCGTTGTGTCACAGCATCATCGGACTGAGTTTGTTGTCATTGCAGGCAATCTCAACGCAGTGCGTTACAGGGAAGATATCCTCCTCCCTCATGTGGTACCCTTCCTGCAGGCTCATCCTGACATGACCCTCCAGCATGACAATGCCACCAGCCATACTGCTGGTTCTGTGCGTGATTTCCTGCAAGACAGGAATGTCAGTGTCCTGCCATGGCCAGCGAAGAGCCTGGATCTCAATCCCATTGAGCACGTCTGGGATCTGTTGGATCGGAGGGTGAGGGCTAGGGCCATTCCCCCCTAGAAATGTCTGGGAACTTGCAGGTGCATTGGTGGAAGAGTGGGGTAACATCTCACAGCAAGAACTTGCAAGTCTGGTGCAGTCCATGAGGAGGAGATGCACTGCAGTACTTAATACAGCTGGTGGCCACACCAGATACTGACTGTTACTTTAGATTTTGACCCCTCCTTTGTTCAGGGACACATTATTCAATATCTGTTAGTCACGTCTGTGGAACTTGTTCAGTTAATGTCTCAGTTGTTGAATCTTGTTATGTTCATACAAATATTTACACATGTTAAGTTTGCTGAAAATAAACGCAGTTGACAGTGAGAGGACGTTTCTTTATTTGCTGTGGGTGTGTGTGTATTTATATAATGCGCTGTCTTAGGCGTCTCACAGTACGGACATTGCAATTTATTGCCCTGGCCACATCTGCAGTCCTCATGCCTCCTTGCAGCATGCCTAAGGCACGTTCATGCAGATGAGCAGGAACCCTGGGCATCTTTCTTTTGGTGTTTGTCAGAGTCAGTTGAAAGGCCTCTTTAGTGTCTTAAGTTTTCATAACTTCGACCTTAATTGCCTACCGTCTGTAAGCTGTTAGTGTCTTAACGACCGTGCCACAGCTGCATATTCATTAATTGTTTATGGTTCATTGAACATGCATGGGAAACAGTGTTTAAACCCTTTACAATGAAGATCTGTGAAGTTATTTGGATTTTTACTAATTATCTTTGAAAGACAGGGTCCTGAAAAAGGGAAGTTTCTTTTTTTTATGAGTTTATGTATATTCTTAATTCCATTCCTTACATAGATTTGTGTGTATTGGGTATATGTTGTGAAATTGTTAGATATTACTTGTTAGATATTACTGCACAGTCGGAGCTAGAAGCACAAGCATTTCGCTACACCCGCAATAACATCTGCTAAACACGTGTATGTTACAAATAACATTTGATTTGATTTGAACAGTGCTCTATATTTGACTTTAAGTCTTTTTTTCCAGTGGTATCGTTATGGTATCGAGTATCATTATAGCTGGTATTGGTATCGAAGCCAAAATTCTGAACACTTAGTTTATGATCTAGCTAATGATTAGCACATTGGGGTAGCCTAAACAAATGCAGATGGCAAACCCCATACTTAAGCCATCTATAGCCTAGCCACTATGCTATTACATCTGTTAGGCTACATGAGAATGCTAATTGCTAAAATAGCATACCTGCCTGAGGCATGTAGGCTATAGCCTTTGATGAAAGAGCCAGCCCTAAAAATATGGGAATATTAGCAGGTGTGTGGCACACGCAGACCTCCATTTTTATTACATTGTTTTCAAAGTGGCATTAAAGATCTTAAGTCTCTTAAATTCAACTTCATGGAACCTGCAGATACCCTGAATACAATCGGATGCTATAGGCCATGCCAAAATATGTCTCTAAACAGGATTTAAAAACCTCAGTGGTATCTGCCTCTTACCGGAAAGGGTAAATTACCTATTCTATAATGACACTGCTGCTAACTAAATTACATACCTACTCATTCAACATAAATCAATGTGTCACTTTGGCTATTAGTAAAGACCTATAAAGACTGAACGTGGTAGGGTAAAACAAAGAAAATGTTTACGTTGATGGACGTACTAACTGATAAATGAACTATTAATGTTCTCCCTCTTTCAGGTCGTCCAAAGCGGAGAGGGGTGTCCAAATGGCAGCAACAGTCCTCTCCTTATAAGCGTGTAGTCAACTCAAGCTCAGACAGCGAAGGGGACAGTCACGCAGGCAGGGGGCGCAAGAGGGCCACAGACTGGAGTAACCTGCAGGGGATCATCAGTGATGGAGCAGACAGCGACTGACAGGCTGTGCTCTTCTGGCCATGAGGATCAAGTTGCCTCCAGACTAGAGATCTTTTGGACCTGTTCCGAAATGGACCTGGGGCTTTCCCACCCGGACCCGATATGCATAAAAAATTGTTTTTATAATAATTGAGACCCGTTCCGAACGGACCCAATGACAACTAGACCCGTTCCGTATAGACCCGGTCCAATCCGAATGAGAAAAGCAGCAGAAAAGTCATTTTTTAGCTACTTTATTAATTCTGGATCCGAACCCGCTCGGGTCCTGGATCGGGTATTCGGGTACATGTGGGTCCGTGAAGACCTCTACTCCAGACGTCTGTGTAACTTTTTACTTTTGCATTTTCCTCTACGCTATTGAAGTTTAGTTGCTAGTTGTTTACCGCCCATTTTGGCTTAATGTTGTCTGTATGGTTCTCTTATACACATATTATATGATTAAGGCCTAGATTCAATCAGATCAAGCGTTAACCGGCGATAGCAAACTCTTGCATAGCAGATGTTTTGGCAGTGTCAGAGGTGGAATTGTGTTAGAGCCGTCAAATAGGTGAGCAGCTGCTCTTGCGATCATTGTCACAAAGCCACACCCGCCCCACTCTTGTTAAAGTTCAGAATGAGGAAGTGTAGGCCATATAGAAATAATTACGCTCAAATTGAAAAATCATAAACGAAATCATGAGGATTTCTATCATCCTAATCGAGGTGTAGATTACATCTCACATTTCCGTGTTCGAATGTGTAAACAAGGCTGGCTGCATGGGATTTCTGTTATGCGCGACTCCGTGCAGCCAATGGCAATGTCCGCGTTAGGTGTAATGCTTGGAGCCACTTTGTGGATTTGACAGCTCTAAAGCAGTTTGACCTCTGACACCACTTGTTGGCTAAAGTGGATCTGATTGGATAGAGCCCTAAGTCAGTTTCTTCCCTCATTAAAACACACTCCTTAGTTGTAGGCTAAACAAACCATTGCAATATAAGTTTTTGGCCTTAACCTTAACTACTTGCCATATACAAAGAAAAACGGTATATTCTTGTATGTAGGTTAAATAGGTACGCAAATATGATATGCAAATTAGAAATACGCAAATATGACTTTTCCTTCTATTGTCTTAGTTTGAGACACGTTAGGTTAACTGTTCCACTTAAATCTTGATTTAATAAAGGTTTAGATTTTTATAAATAGTAAGCTTGTCTGTCCTTTTCATTGATCAAGTAAGGTTGACACCAGTTGCATTTCAATTTGTACATTCTCAGATATTAGAATGACACTAGCACCCCCCCTGTCCTTTTAAATCCCCCTATTCAAATCCCCTAATCAAATCATAAAGTGACTTCGCTTCACAATCAATTTTAGATACTTTCGGATTATTTGGACATGATGCGCGAAAAATGCTAATATAGGTTTGCCTTGAATGGGATTCGTGCCACAAATGCTAAAACATTAGCATTTGGAAACAGTGCCAGGGAAATAAAACCAAAGCATCGATTGCTGTCATACCTGGCCCGTGGCCAGGGGTGTTTTCATTCCACTGATTCTGTTTGGACTTAAGTCCCACCCCGTTTTGTTCCGTTTGCTTCTGTCCAAGAAACGTTATGCAACAGAATTGGAGGAATGAAAATACCCCTGCTTACAGGGTAAAGAAATCAAAATGTATTTTATTTTTTATTTGGGTGATCTAACCCTTTAATCCAATCCTAAAAGTTTTGAAAAACTGGAGAATGGAGATCATATGTGTAAGACTAAGTACAGATCCAAAGAACTCAGTCTTAAGCGTCTTAACATTTTAGTGAACAGATATGGCTACCTTTTTGAGGCTTCATGTATATGTTTCGTTTCTATTTAAACAAAATACAGAAACCACCTTGAGTACAGTGGAACGCAGATTCGCAATATATTATATGCTGGTACAGCGCATTAGCAGACGGACTCGTTCGTCCGGTCCGTCACGAGTAAGATCCGTCCAAGGTTGCAACGTGACAGGTATGTATTTGCTACTCGGTTATTTTCTCTTAACTACATGTTATCATGTATTAGAACAAATTCATGCATAATTTATGTCCTCGTAAATCCTCAAGCGAGGTATGTCACCTAGCTTGTTAGTTATAACAAATAGGAAAAGGTTAGCCCAGAAATGTAAGATCGCACTAAAACAATGGATCAAATGCCCTTTATGATTGTTAGCCTGTACATCCACTAGTGGGCGCTATGTTCATCTCTCGTGGACATGAACCGGCGAGAATCTGTCAAGGCTCACGTTTAATTATGCTATGGGTCATGGCTAGAAGGGGATCCATTTTTTTTGTCAACCATGCTATGGGTCATGGCTAGAAGGGGATCCATTTTTTTTGTCAACCTAACCCTGGCTACCAGTTCGTACATAAGACATTTTTACTCAATGAGAGAAGAGTAAAAATTATTCCTTATTTGTTAGTTTTCTCAATCTTAAGGCAAACCTAGATTCGAGCCAGTGTCTTAAGTAGTTGAACATATTATTACTCCAACCTCGTGAAAGTGACACGTTTTCATTTTCGTCAAAAGCAACTTGATATCGAAGGAGTGCAATTCGCCCCGTTGACGTTTCTACGCCTGAGCTTAGCTAGCCAATGTTGCCATGACATCGCCTACAAGTGTGATCAGGTATTTCTATTGGAGAAGCAGTTTCTGCCTATCTTCATACTGTACTGTCTTTGGTTAACCTAACGTAGCAGGCGTAAAAGAAAACGCCTGAGCGAAGTTACCACATCTGTTTTTTTGCAGAAAAGGAAGCAATTGGTGCAATTCGCTGTATCCTTGAAAACCGTATACATCCGGTTATTGGCAACTCCACTAAGACTAGCCAGGGGTAAACAACAGACTGCTGCAACCTGACTGGCTGAACGTGATACACAACATCCGGGACTAGCGTTTCTAGGCATTAGCCACTTTAGCATGGTGGTGGAAAATGGTGTTTCATAAAGAAAGTACGCATATTTCCCCCCCACAAAAATTGAGCCTTCTCGCCATTAAATCGAGTTAAGGAGGAAATTGAAGCCTTTGCAGCCTGAATGGAGAATGTTTTATGTACGAACCGGTCGCCAGGGGACAAGCCTGTATTATAGGCAGGGCACCTCGACTCCAGACGATAGTGGAGAACCATAGCGCCAACTAGCGGACCAGGCTATGATTGTATGCATCTGTAGCTACTAGCTGGTGCTCATTACATGACATTCCTTGAGAGCAACAACATTTTAAAATTTTTTATTTGAAGCATTTGGCTTCATTTATTTACACAACATAAACATTAACGTCATTTTTGAGAAATAGCTTAAAAAAAACTGGGTGTAGATACAATAAAGGGAGAGAACTGGGACAGACCCATAGCTTTGACCTTATTAAATCAGTTTCTCTTGGGTCTTGAAGTGAAGGCTTCAATTATGGTTGTCATGTAGATCACCTATGATGGTAAAGGATGGTTTTAGGATAGAAACACGAGGCATATTTGGATACAATGTAAACTTCCTCATAATATAATGCAACTTCGATTAGCAAGAAGCAGCAACAAACAAACATTTAATTACATTTTAATTGTATTTAAGGCCATAGGGATTTTTTTCTCTTAATCATATCACAATCACCCTTTACCAGTTAATGTAGACACAAATATATGGAAATATTGTATAACATATGCAAATGATGTGATCTCATTAAATATGTATATTTGCATATACTGCAAATCCATTTTTCTGGACACTGGATAAAGTCAGCCTAAATATATTTTGGTTTCATTTTATTAAGACTCCAGGAGTGGACTTACTCAGACCAGATTATGGATAGAAAGATGGAAAAAGTATGTATCTGTAAAATACTAAAGACATTTTTGGCACATGTTTCCAAGAAAATGTTATCTAGAATACAAATTTGACAATATATCAACAATTCCCTCTGAGTAAGTCTGGAGAATATGTCTAAGGATAACCACACAAACTTACATAGATGCTTCTGAAGCTGAGAAAAATGAGTTGGCGTGTGGGAAGTCTGACTTTCGGGAAATGGCAGTTAGACTGGTACACTGAATTTATCCTACCAATCGCCAAACTCCTATTTTGACCCAATCACAATCTTTTCAAAGTAAGTTACTACATACAGTCCAGTTTGTAACATTCTCTATGAAATGGCCTTAACATTGTGTGATTCAATGTAGTAAGCATTGTAATTATGGTGTTGTAAGAGTGGTTAACTCATGAAATGTTTAATGGTAATATGATAAAGCCCCCAAAAATAACATAATGATTTTTGACATTTTTGTTAACTTTTTTAAAGTACTCATATTAAAGGACCAAAATACCCCAAAAGTAGATGCAGAAATTTGAGTGAATTGTAAAATTCCACCATTCGCACAATAATCCTCAAATGTCATAAGAAATTAGGTGGAGTTTGTCTTGTAATAACGCTATACTATGCTATTATATTTGGTTCTTGTATATAGAATACTACCATTGTGATCTTGCAGACATTGATTCAGCTTTGATCTAACTTTATTAAACGAGCACCATTGGCCAGAATGGGCAGCCGAACGAGTAGAGCAGAGACTGTGTGTAAAGTAGAGGATCCCCCACATGCACAAAAGTTTAGGTTTTTAAGCTATCGGGAAGAGGCTTCCAAAAAATTCCAGAGGCTTCCGGAAACACAGCCACTCTGAATTTTCAAAGCAAAATTAAAAGCTTAGTTTGAACACAGGTTTTTTTCTAAACTTGTGTCAAAGAGCCTACAGTGGGGGAAAAAAGTATTTAGTCAGCCACCAACTGTGCAAGTTCTCCCACTTAAAAAGATGAGAGGCCTGTAATTTTCATCATAGGTACACGTCAACTATGACAGACAAATTGAGGAAAAAAAATCCAGAAAATCACATTGTAGGATTTTTTATGAATTTATTTGCAAATTATGGTGGAAAATAAGTATTTGGTCACCTACAAACAAGCAAGATTTCTGGCTCTCACAGACCTGTAACTTCTTCTTTAAGAGGCTCCTCTGTCCTCCACTTGTTACCTGGATTAATGGCACCTGTTTGAACTTGTTATCAGTATAAAAGACACCTGTTCACAACCTCAAACAGTCACACTCCAAACTCCACTATGGCGAAGACCAAAGAGCTGTCAAAGAACACCAGAAACAAAATTGTAGACCTGCACCAGGCTGGGAAGACTGAATCTGCAATAGGTAAGCAGCTTGGTTTGAAGAAATCAACTGTGGGAGCAATTATTAGGAAATGGAAGACATACAAGACCACTGATAATCTCCCTCGATCTGGGGCTCCACGCAAGATCTCACCCCGTGGGGTCAAAATGATCACAAGAACGGTGAGCAAAAATCCCAGATCCACACGGGGGGACCTAGTGAATGACCTGCAGAGAGCTGGGACCAAAGTAACAAAGCCTACCATCAGTAACACACTACGCCGCCAGGGACTCAAATCCTGCAGTGCCAGACGTGTCCCCCTGCTTAAGCCAGTACAGGTCCAGGCCCGTCTGAAGTTTGCTAGAGTGCATTTGGATGATCCAGAAGAGGATTGGGAGAATGTCATATGAAACCAAAATATAACTTTTTGGTAAAAACTCAACTCGTCGTGTTTGGAGGACAAAGAATGCTGAGTTGCATCCAAAGAACACCATACCTACTGTGAAGCATGGGGGTGGAAACATCATGCTTTGGGGCTGTTTTTCTGCAAAGGGACCAGGACGACTGATCCGTGTAAAGGAAAGAATGAATGGGGCCATGTATCGTGAGATTTTGAGTGAAAACCTCCTTCCGTCAGCAAGGGCATTGAAGATGAAACGTGGCTGGGTCTTTCAGCATGACAATGATCCCAAACACACCGCCCGGGCAACGAAGGAGTGGCTTCGTACGAAGCATTTCAAGGTCCTGGAGTGGCCTAGCCAGTCTCCAGATCTCAACCCCATAGAAAATCTTTGGAGGGAGTTGAAAATCTGTGTTGCCCAGCGACAGCCCCAAAACATCACTGCTCTAGAGGAGATCTGCATGGAGGAATGGGCCAAAATACCAGCAACAGTGTGTGACAACCTTGTGAAGACTTACAGAAAACGTTTGACCTGTGTCAATGCCAACAAAGGGTATATAACAAAGTATTGAGAAACTTTTGTTATTGACCAAATACTTATTTTCCACCATAATTTGCAAATAAATTCATAAAAAATCCTACAATGTGATTTTCTGGATTTTTTAAAATCATTTTGTCTGTCCTAGTTGACTTGTACCTATGATGAAAATTACAGGCCTCTCTCATCTTTTTAAGTGGGAGAACTTGCACAATTGGTGGCTGACTAAATACTTTTTTCCCCCACTGTATATAGATGAAGAGCTCCAGAAACTGCTTCTCCAATAGAAATCCCCGATCACACTTGTAGGCGATGTCATGGCAACTGTAGCTAGCTAAGCTCATGCTCAGAAACACGTCATCCGGTTTAACTGGTCGTGTCACGCCGAACAGCACATGTGCAGGCTGTCAAATCAAAGGCACTCCTTCGATATAAAGTTGTTTTTGTCGGAAATGAAAAAATGTCAGTTTGTTACTTTCACAAGGTTGTAGTAATGAGATGTTCAGCTACTTAAAACATTGGCTCGAAAAAAAATAATGTTATGGACACCTCTATAAAATGCAGAATTGGTTAGAAAAAAACAGTGAACTTGTTTTCGGCACAATTTGAGTGAAAGCCCAAAAGGCCTCAGAAGGCCTTGTTTGCCCTTCAACTAGGGCTAATGAATGTAGGTGGCGCATTTGAGGTTAGACTCACCTCTTTCCAGGTGGTCCACCCAAAATCTGTCCACAAAAATAAGACCACGAAGTGAGTTTTTTTTTTTTATGGAGGTCAATTGGAGAGTGTCGAATTTGGTCAACCGAAAATGTATTTGCTACGTGAAGCTTATTTAAACTAATAGACGTTTCGTAATGGTTAGGTTGTTACGAATGCACTGATATAAGTGGATGCATGTGGCATTTCGGAAACATCGGAGTTGTGCCTGTTGTTCACACGCGTATCTGACTTCTTCATTGGCTAGTATGGTCCCACCTGAACTCGCCTCTTCCATCTTTGAGGACATGTATTTCCATTGTTAAAGCGGTCACTCGACCATCTTGTCAATAATAGATGATCTTTGATAGTACTGAGGAAGTTTCATGGCACCAAAGATACTTTAACCAGAGATATGGATACAGTGCATTCGGAAAGTATTCAGACCCTTCCCCTTTTCCACATTTTGTTACAGCCTTGTTCTAAAATGGATGAAATACATTTTTTTCCTCCTCAATCTACACACAATACCCCATAATGACAAAGCGAAAACAGGTTTATTACAAATAAAAAACATACCTAAGTATTCAGACCCTTTGCTATGAGACTCGAAATTGAGCTCAGGTGCATCCTGTTTCCATTGATCATCCTTGATGTTTCTAGAACTTGATTGGAGTCCACCTGTGGTAAAATCAATTGATTGGACATGATTTGGAAAGGCACACACCTGTCTATATAAGGTCCCACAGTTGACCGTGCATGTCAGAGCAAAAACCAAGCCATGAGGTCGAAGGAATTGTCCGTAGAACTCTGAGACAGGATTGTGTCGAGGCACAGATCTGGGGAAGGGTACCAAAACATTTCTGCAGCATTGAATGTCCCCAAGAACACAGTGGCCTCCATCATTCTTAAATGGAAGAAGTTTGGAACCACCAAGACTCTTCCTAGAGCTGGCCGCCCGGCCAAACTGCGCAATCGGGGGAGAAGGGCCTTGGTCAGGGAGGTGACCAAGAACCTGATGGTCACTCTGACAGAGCTCCAGAGTTCCTCTGTGGAGATAGAGAGCCTTCCAGAAGGCCAACCATCTCTGCAGCACTCCACCAATCAGGCCTTTATGGTAGAGTGGCCAGACGGGAACCACTCCTCAGTAAAAGGCACATGACAGCACACTTGGAGTTTGCCAAAAGGCACCTAAAGGACTCTGACCATGTGAAACAATATTCTCTGGTCTGATGAAACCAAGATTGAACTCTTTGGCCTGAATGCCAAGCGTTACGTCTGGAGGAAACCAGGCACCGCTCATCACCTGGCCAATACCATCCCTACGGTGAAGCATGGTGGTGGCAGCATTATGCTGTGGGGATGTTTTTCAGCGGCAGGGACTGGGAGACTAGTCAGGCAGAAGGAAAGATGAACGGAGCAACGTACAGAGAGATCCTTGATGAAAACCTGCTCAGGACCTCAGACTGGGGCGAAGGTTCACCTTCCAACAGGACAACAACCCTAAGCACACAGCCAAGACAACGCAGGAGTGGCTTCCGGACAAGTCTCTGAATGTCCTTGAGTGGCCCAGCCAGAGCCCGGACTTGAACCCGATCTAACATCTCTGGAGAGACCTGAAAATAGCTGTGCAGCAACGCTCCCCATCCAACCTGACAGAGCTTGAGAGGATCTGCAGAGAAGAATGGGAGAAACTCCCCAAATACAGGTGTGCCAAGCTTGTAGCGTCATACCCAAGAAGACTCAAGGCTGTAATCGCTGCCAAAGGTGCTTCAACAAAGTACTGAGTAAAAGGTCTGAATACTTATGTAAATGTCATTTTTCAATTTAATATTTCTAAACCTGTTTTTGCTTTGTCAATATGGGGTATTGTGTGTATGTTGATGAGGGGGGAAAAAAACATTTAATCCATTTTAGAATAAGGCTGTAACGTAACAACATTTGGAAAAAGTGAAGGTGTCTGAATACTTTCCGAATGCACTGTATGTTGGAAGCTTATGAATGTCATTTGTAATAAACTTGCCTATATTGTAGTAAAAACAGAGTCATACAAAGATGAAACACTGTTCAATTATATTTTTTCCAGAACAAAAATGTGTCTTTAGTTATCATCTTTCAATATTCCAGGTTTACTGATAGCCCTAATAAAGACTCATTAGATGATGTGCTGCAACAAGACTAGAGACTACTAGGCTATACTAACTGCATATTATAAACTGGGTAGTTTGGCTCCTGGATGCTGATTGGCTGAAAGCCGTGGCATACCAGACCGTATACCACGGGTATGACAAACCAATGTTTTTACTGTTCTAATTACGTTGTTAACCAGTTTATAATAGCATTAAGGTACCTCGGGGGTTTGTGGTATATTGCCAATATACCACGGCTAAGGGCTGTGTCCTGGCACTACGCGCTGCTTCGTGCTGATGAACAGTCCTGAGTATATCGTCCATATACCACACCCCCTCAGGCCTTATTGCTTAAATATAACACGTTGTTTTATGGACAAAATATGTGTTTTGTATTTCAAGTATGGAAGAGGGCAGTCCGGAAGAGTTTCTTGCAGAGTTCAAGGAGAAACATTTAGGTGGTTGGGGCATTGTCCAGATAACTGCTGGCACAGGGCTAGCTGTCTATGCAATGTGGGCAGTGGTTCTCATGCCGGGATTTCGAAAAGTCCCTCTGAGGTTACAGGTAAGACCTGGGTTGTGTTCACTGGGGTGCAATTCAATTACAGAATCATCAGATATAAATATACTGAACAAAAATATAAACGCAACATGCAACAATTTCAAAGATTTTACTGAGTTACTGTTCATATAAGGAAATCAGTCACATGAAATAAATTAATTAGGCCCTAATCTATGGATTACACGACTGGGAATACAGATATGCATCTGTTGGTCACAGATACCTTAAAAAGAAAGGCAGGGGCGTGGATCAGAAAACCAGTCCGTATCTGGTATGAACACCATTTGCCTCATCTCCTTTGCATAGAGTTGATCAGGCGGTTGATTGTGGCCTGTGGAATGTTGTCCCACTCATCTTCAATGGCTTTGCCAAGTTGCTGGATATTGGCGGGAACTGGAACACGCTGTCGATCCAGAGCATCCCAAACATGCTCAATGGGTGACATGTCTGAGTATGCAGGCCATGGAAGAACTGGGACATTTTCAGCTTCCAGGAATTTTGTACAGATCCTTGCAACATGGGGCCATGCATTATCATGTATACATGTGGTAATGGCGGCAGATGAATGGCACGACAATGGGCCTCAGGATCTCGTCACGGTATCTCTGTGTATTCAAGTAGCCATTTGATAAAATGCAATTGTGTTCGTTGTCTGTAGCGTATGCCTGCCTGTACCATGTGGCATTCTGTTCACAACGTTGACATAAGCAAACTGTTCATCCACACACCGCCATACACGTGGTCTGCGGTTGAGGCTAGTTGGACATACTGCCAAATTCTCTAAAACGATGCAATAGGCGGCTTATGGTAGAGAAATGAACATTAAATTATCTGGCAACAGCTCTGGTGGACATTCCTGCAATCAGCATGCCAATTGTACGCTCCCTCAACTTGAGACATCTGTGGCATTGTGTTGTGTTAAAACTGCACATTTTAGAGTGGCCTTTTATTGTCCCCAGCACAAGGTGCACCTGTGTAATGTTCATGCTGTTTAATCAGCTTCTTGATATGCCACACCTGTCAAGTGGATGGATTGTCTTGTCAAAGGAGAGATGCTCACTAACAGGGATGTACAAACACATTTCTGCACAATTTGAGAGAAAAGCTTTTTGTGCGTATGGGAAATATTTTATTTCAGCTCATGAAACATGAGACCAACACTTTACATGTTGCGTTTATATATTTGTTCAGTGTATATTATGTAGAACAGACCTGCCTTTCTGTCATGAGGATTGGGGAATTCTGTCGGCTCTATAGTTTACACTTCACTTAAAAGTATCCAGGTATAATGCTTTATAACTTGTTATAGGTATGAGCCTTTATAATATCTTATAATAAGGCTTATAATATCTGTCTTTATATCCCATTTTAAAAGGGGCAAGCTCTGTTTAAACAATAACAGAGGGCTACCCGCCACTGTTTTGGTAAACAGCTGCGGGATGGAGTTGGAGAATAGTAACCATTCTCAAATTCATAGGCAGAGCTATGGATGCAAGGACTGACCATCTATGATACCAAAATTATAGGTTTAACCATGAGGCTATACAGTGTTTGTTTACAATGACATTGTTTACAAACAATGGAGTAAAATAAGCTTATAATTTGGATTCTGCTGGGGTACGCACAACAGTTGAACTTAGGTCATGAGGCTTTTATAAGTTATATTCTTCGAGAATCTATGGGTTTATCAATAAATGTTAAAGTCCCAAAATGGATGTACCAATCGCTGATTGCCCCTTTAATTGACTGAAAATCCCATTTATTAAATCAGAATCATTATGAGTTGATTATAAGACCGGGATGGGCAACTCCAATCCTCGGGGGGCCGGAGTGGTGTCAAACTTCCCCATCCCTAGCAAACACGGCTGATTTTAAACTGATTTTATTCTAAACTGAAGATCATGATTAGTTGATTATTGGAATCAGTTGTGTTAGCTGGGGCAAAAATGTGAGACCAATCAGGCTCCCAAGGACTGGAGTTGCCACCCCCTTTAAGTCTTCGCAGCCGAAACAGTTCTGAAGAGTTTGTGCATATTTTGTTATGAGATTTTGTGGCGTTCAGTGAGTTTTTTTGGGTACACAGCCTTTTTTCTAGAGGCAAGCCGAAGTTCGGAGCCGAAGTCGCCCCTTCGTCTGTGATTGGTCAACAGTAGGGATTCTTAAATTGTCTTTGTTGTCATTCAACGAGAGTTATCTTAGATTCATTCTGAATATTTTGAGGAAGCGTATACTGGTTACGGCGTCTCAAAATGTACAAACGGTACATTTTACATTTGAGTAATTTAGCAGACACTCTTATCCAGAGCGATTTACAGTTGTGAGGGCATACATTTTCGTACTGGTCCCACATGGGAATCAAACCCACAACCCTGGTGTTTCCATGCTCTACCAACTGAGCCACACAGTACCATTGCCACTTTTTTCTTGTTTTTGAAGCGGAGGTCTTTTAAGGGAGTGTGCGAGCACACTCGTTCGGTTTGACTAGCTGAGGTCAACTAGGCGCCAGCCGAACTGAAGCATGCTGACGCCTTTATAAGACATAAGGGGCTTATACATGATAACTCTCACAATGCATTGTAACCGCATCGTAGTACATTGCATCTGTAGGTTTTTAAGTAAAGTGTTAACGACATTTCTATCTGCTAGTTCTGATAACCGATGTGAGTTGTGATATTTTCTGCAGGTGCCCTACCTCCCCGCCAGCAAGAAACAAGTGCGGAATGTGATGGCACTGCTGAGTGGTCGACAGGGTAACCTTGTGGACATGGGCTCCGGTGATGGCAGGATTGTAAGTAGGGCTGGGCGACGTGGCTTAAAAACTTATGGGCGATTCACAATATATCTACTTTTTAAAAATGTTTTCTCTAAATAAGCTTTGTTGTACAATTTTAAAGGGTAAAATACACTTCATTTCAAACAGTCAGCTATAATCTAATGAATTCAGGGTTTGTGAAATTATACCTAGGCTAAATATAAGCCTTCCACAACCATAAGACCCACTAATAATTTAATTAAAATAGTTTAACCTGCTTTTTTAGAATGATCACTGATCTGGCTTTCAAGTCTGTCTATGAAAATTCCCTTTTTGTTACAAATTTAACCAGAACCATGCATAATGCACATTCACTGATACTGACTAACTGATTGTAGCAGGTATTATAGAAAATTAACACAGGTCTCATAAACAATCTCTCAAGAACAAGCCCACATGCTAGTGAGTAGCCAGCTACTCTTTATATTTCAAGTTTAGCCAACTTGGATCTATTTGCCAGCTAACAAGGTAGAACAGTGGAGTTGTTATGAACACGCCCTTCTGTCTGTCTCTAACAGTTTGAACAGCATGCTAGCCTGTCCACTTTGTTCAGATGTGGAATGAAGTGGCCTACCTTATTTCTCAGAATGAGAATGTGTTGCCAATTCCTTATATAATTGTGTTTTATGCTTATTGCACATTTATCAAACACAGTCTAGACCGCTAGTATAACGGTCTTTGGCAAAAAAGGCTACTAGCGGTACGTTATGCCTACAAACTGAGAATACATTTTCCAGAATCAATGTTCATTGATACTCTCGTTTTAGTAGTGTTTGCTCTGAGGAGTTGAGACATAAAATGGGTATTGTTAGAAAGGTTAACTTCTCCTTTATTACAGTAAAATGTCTCAATGTGTTTCGGTGTCCATATGACCGATTCTGTTGGACCAAAAATGCAAATAGCGAGTTGAAACAATAGTGTGTGATTGTGGCCCGTATTTCGGCGCGTTCCATGCCCCCCCCCCCCCCCTAAAGGGAAATAAAAGTATTATCCACATTTTTCGGGGGTGAAGGACAGCTACCGGTGTTGCTCCCGCCTGCTGTGTACCGGAGCCCTCCTAGCTAGCTAGTTAGCACCCAGTGTCCTTCACTAACGCCTGCTGAACACCTACCATCGTTAACAGAACTGCGGGAAAACAGTGCCTGACAGGGCTTGGTGTGTGTGTGTGTGAGATCAAGTGGACATAAACGCTCATAAAAACAACATGATTATTGAGATACGGGCATTTGAAATATCGTGCTAAAACATACATTTGAGTTTATCAAATTAATTTGATATATCGCCCAGCTCTAACTGTAAGTGTGGGCGTGCTCCTGCAGATATGGAATGTGTATCCACAAGGTGTGTGTGCATGTGTGAAAGGGAGAGAAACAGAAACTTTACCTTTGTTGAGAACCAAGTTCATGTTTTTTATCTTTTCAGGTGCTGGAAGCGCACAAACACGGCTTTGGTCCCACAGTAGGATACGAACTCAACCCCTGGTTAGTTGGTCTAGCCAACTTCCACGCATGGAGAGCAGGCCATTATGGGAAGGTGTCGTATCGGCGGGAAGACCTCTGGAAGGTGTGACACAGGCAGATGTTACTTGTCTTTTGCCCAACCCCAAACCAACTACTAGCTTCACTTCAGATCTAAGGGGATTGGATAAGTAAAGAATATGGCCAATAGCTTAATCTTGTGCTCTGATAGGCTTTTTGGAATTTTCAGCATATTGCTTACACCTATCAAATTCTTTAAAAAAACGACATACGTGTCCAGGGGGCAGGGGCTAGGGGTTGATTTAAGTTTTGAGTTGAGTTCACATGTTTGGTTGTTGGTAATACTCATCCACATATTCTATACATTTTGCACTATTACTAGTTCCTCAAAGAGTTACTACTAGTTGTTTTACCAAGCCTTATTGTTAGGGGCCAGAATTTTTCCAGATTAGGTCAGGAAAAACACAGGACCCTACTTACTGTAGTTTCTCTGTTACTTTTATTTGTGTTTGGTCACTGTTTGTGTCGCTTTGTTCAGTTACATTCAAAGAGGACATGTTTACACTGTAAAACTAAAATTATGATGAAAATAAATAAAATGTGTTTAATAGGTACTTGGATTTTTGGATTATGATATTTGCATTTCTCATTCCAGGTGGACCTTACTGAGTGTAAGAATGTTACTGTGTTTTTGGCCCCCAGCGTGGTAAGTCTTTTTGCATTGGCACACATTATTAATTCATGTGTGCACACGATACGGATACCCAGCCATAGCGGTCAAACCATTTGCTCAGTAAGTTGGGGAATGGTGCCACGGGTGCCTAGGTTGAGGGTTCAATTCGCATATCATCTGGCTTCTCACTGCCGGAACAAAAACACCTGTTAGCTATCTATAAATGAATAGACAGCTGCTAGCCAACTGATTAGAAAAATGGACAGCTGGATGAATAAGTGTGTGTATGTGTTTGCCTAGCTGTCTTTACTGCAGGAGAAGATGGAGGCTGAGCTTCCAGATGACGCCCTGGTAGTAGCCGGTAGGTTTCCCTTCACTGAGTGGACTCCATGCAGGATTGAAGGAGATGGTGTGGACAGAGCCTGGGCCTATAACATGCAGGCCCAAAGACTGCCAGCAGGGAGTGCTGTGCTACCTGTGCCTGGAGAGTTGAAATCACCAGTTTGAACTGAAAGTGAGAGAACCAAGTAACTGTCTAGACCGGAAAGGCATGAGCGTTTGTCTGATGGAGGAAACCATGGTAGTCTGAGGAGGAGGGACAAACCATTTGTATCTACATGGGTTGACACAAGTAGCTGACTGAGACCCACTCATTACAGTGTTGAGTTGGTAGTTCGGGGCCTTTTCTCAAGTAGATTTTCTTGATTCCTTGCGTCCTCTCCTCCATCCTTTCCTCGCCATTTGAAAACAACAGCTGTTTCAAAGGGGGTGAGGTGGATTTCAACACACAATACCCCATAATGACAAAGCGAAAACAGGTTTTTAGAAATGTTAGCAAATGTATAAAAAAAAAAATATCAGATACCTTATTTACGTAAGTATTCAGACCCTTTGCTACGAGACTTGAAATTGAGCTCAGGTGCATCTTTTTTCCATTGCTCATCCTTGAGATGTTTCTACATCTTGATTGGAGTCCACCTGTGGTAAATTCAATTGATTGGACATGATTTGGAAAGGCACACCTGTCTATATAAGGTCCCACGGTTGACAGTGCATGCCAGAGCAAAAACCAAGCCGTGAGGTCGAAGGAATTGTCCGTAGAGCTCCGAGACAGGATTGTGTCGAGGCACAGATCTGGGGAAGGGTACCTCTGACAGAACTCCAGAGTTCCTCTGTGGAGATGAGACAACCTTCCAGAAGGACAACCTTCCTGCAGCACTACACCAATCAGGCCTTTATGGTACAGTGGCCAGACGGGAGCGACTCCTCAGTAAAAGGCACATGACAGCCTGCTTGGAGTTTGCTAAAAGGCACCTAAAGGACTCAGACCATGAGAAACAAGATTCTCTGGTCTGATGAAACCAAGATTGAACTCATTGGCCTGAATGCCAAGCCTCACGTCTGGAGGAAACCTGGCACCATCCCTACGGTGAAGCATGGTGGTGGCAGCATCATGCTGTGGGGATGTTTTTCAGCGGCAGCGACTAGGAGACTAGTCAGGACTGAAGGAAAGATGAACGGAGCAAAGTACAGAGATCCTCGATCAAAACTTGCTCCAGAGCGCTCAGGACCTCAGACTGGGACGAAGGTTCACCTTCCAACAGGACAACGACCCTAAGCACACAGCCAAGACAATGCAGGAGTGGCTTCGGGACAAGTCTCTGAATGTCCTTGAGTGGCCCAGCCAGAGCCCGGACTTGAACCCGATCGAACATCTCTGGAGAGACCTGAAAATAGCTGTGTAGCGACGCTCCACATCCAACCTGACAGAGCTTGAGAGGTTCTGCAGAGAGGAATGGGAGAAACTCCCCAAATACAGGTGTGCCAAGCTTGTAGCGTCATACCCAAGAAGACTCGAGGCTGTAATCGCTGCCAAAGGCGCTTCAACAAAGCACTGAGTAAAGGGTCTGAATACTTACGTAAATGTGATATTTCAGTTTTTTATTTTTTATAAATGTACAAACATTTCTAAACCTGTTTTTGCTTTGTCATTATGGGGTTTTGTATGTAGATTGGGGGGGGGGGGGGGGGCATTTAATCAATTTTAGAGTAAGGCTGTAACGTAACAATGTGGATAAAGTCAAGGGGTCTGAATACTTTACGAATGCACTGTATATATATCACTGTCGCAAGGCATCTGAACTAAAAGGTTATAGAGCAAACACAGATTGTAATATACATAGGTTGTAATATGTATGCACACAGGCGCTAGCACAAGCACTCTACACACACGTACATTGTAATGTTGTTGTATGGTGGTATTATACATTTTGTATTGTAGATATGTAGTGGTGTTATGATGTACTGTTTTATCTTTTGTTTTATGTGTAATGGAAGTGCCTTAATGTGTTTGTCCCCGGGAAGAGTTGCTGCTGCCTTGGCAATAGCTAATGGGGATCCCTAATAAATACAAATACGAAAATACGCCTTTTTTTCTGGCTTCTACAGTGATTTTACCCACGCATCGCTACTGTTCAAACCAAGCCTTCATTTAAGAGCTAGATTGTAGTTTCAACGGTTTAATGACTAATAAGATTGAGTTTTCACTACATAATCAAAAGTCAACCTTTGTTTTTCCCTTCAGAAAATGTGTTGGCGTTGTGTGACATACATAGGTGTTTGAATTGAATAATGCAAAAATAAACAGATCTGGAGTGAGTTTCCCAAAAACAATGTCCTTTGCTAGGCAATGGGCAAACTGATCTTAATGCTAAAGATGATCTTTATGTTTTGGGGGAAACACACCTGATCAGGCACAAATGAGCATGGTGAGGCCATCATTCCCCAGGGGCTCCTCGTGTGCCTTCTTCTGAGTTAAGATTAGTGTGTGTTTGTTTAGCCCTCTGCAGATATAAACAGTGTCTAACTGGACAAATTAATGTGGGTTTATTAGGCCCACTCGGGCCACTCCAGATAATGGCAGTCAGAGCCAGATGGTGGCTGAGATTCAGACTGGTGTCTCTCATCTCAAATTTTGGACACAGGTGTCACTGCTCTGATGCATCACTCAGACATTTCTGAGGATCATGGGCATTTAACAAACCAATTGCTGAGTATCTTCAAATAAATAAAAAGTGCATGTGGCCAAGGTTCTGATGGTGTGGAGGGAAGCATGTGAGGCTGATCTTGAGGTGCGTGTGCTGTAAATTGACAACACATAATTTATATTCTAAATGTGCCACCATTAGTGGCGCGTTTGCAAATATAGACAGACTTGTGAAAATATTTAATGTAATATGCTATATTTTCTTGTGGCCAATGGACTCATCCGGCTCAAGATTTAAATGTTACTTCCGGTGGGGAGGGGCTGATTCGCGGGGAGGAAGTTGCGACTGCAAGGCCCCAAGCTCAGTACAGCAGCTCCAAAGCAACCAGTTAGCTTAGCCAAAGCTAGCACTGGGACTGGGTAGAACCGCTTGAGGAGAATAACACAGAAAACAGGAACAAGCACGCAGCTGTAAATTGAGTTTGTATTACATTTTCCGGAGGATTTACGACGTAAACTCCTCAAACAGATGATATTTAATGCGTGCTTTATTTTTTAACACGGGTTCCCAGTGCAACAGCTAGTCAGTTAGCTACATGTCTGGTTCACCTCCACTAAACCCCGTGTAGCAACATTATAAACAATAACAAGGGTCGTCTCTTAAAAGCGATACATCTGCAATCGAGATCTGCATTCATAAATTATTTCACCTGCATTTTTATGATGCAATGTCTTCTAGTCGCGAGTGGGCCGATTGCCACAACATGAGCCTCTACCGGTGTAGCCAACACCTCAAGTAGCCTGCTTGCTACAAATATTTATTGGAAGCCAGGAGAGGCATCACAATTAACTCCGAACATGGTGAGTATGGGTTATAATCTGGTATGGGTTATAATCTGCCACATTATTACTAGCTAATTAACTAACATGTCAGGAAATGGATACTATTACAAATCCAATACATGGACAATGTAGAATATATGCTGTAGACTTCAGCAAAGCGATGACAGAACAGAAATGGTCAATATCCTTTACTGAATATAATATTTTAATCAAAATGTGAAACCCTTAGTATGAAATTGTAAATGTATTGAACTGATCATTTGCATGCATGTGTTAGTTACTGGTATTGTGAAATGTGACGTGTCATATCTTGAAAGCTTTCTAAATGATCTATTCTACGATAATATTTTCCCAGTATAAAATTCCAGAATTTTGGAAGAAGAAATATTTTAAAGAGCAATCAAACCCTGTCGAGCAAGATAACGGTTCTTGTTTGTGCTCCACACATGATGAGTAGGCTACCTGGTTTCCGGGATGTGAGTCGAATTCGTCTGTCTGCGACACAAGACGCCCATCTTGCAAGACCAAATATTTGCGTTGAGTAATCCTAGCATGCCGCGGCCCATTAGAAGAATTCGGGCCCTTTGCTCTGCAAGATGCTTCAGATATGCAGAGGAATCACTATTCGGGTTTTTGCTATACTGTCCTTCCTGTGACTCAAATGCTAACAATTTGTTTAACACAACTCTCTTAAATAGTGAATTGACAGACTCCCTTTGCTGCTGGTATAGTGAATATCATTATACAATGATTATGAATAGCAGAGTGGAAATTACCAATACGATGAGGAAGTTAGTGTGAGTATTTTCCATAAGCGTCACAGTGCAGCACCTGTCCTGGGCCCTATGCAATTTGGAGGAATTTGTGACATCCATTTGACCTTACTGCTGCCTAAAGCTGGGTGTACACTACATGACTTTCAAAATCCTAACATTGCTGAGCCTCTCACATTAAATTATCGTCCTACCTGTCGTTTTTTTGTCTTTCCAACATAGTGGTGCGCAGACTAAACAATGTGACAGTCGGGGGTCACACACAAGATTGTTCAGTTGTTTGTGAGGATTCTCTATACCAAAACAATGACGTGATTACATTTTTAACATAGTTAGAATGAGCTGTGGCTCAAAGCAGCCTCATAAATGTTTTCAGTCAGACATTCACACCTGCCATACAGAGTTGAAATACACTATATATACAGAAGTATGTGGACACCCCTTCAAATTAGTGGATTCGGCTAGTTCAGCCACACCCGTTGCTAACCGGTGTATAAAATCGAGCACACAGCCATGCAATCTCCGTAGACAAACTTTGGCAGTAGAATGGTCTTACTGAAGAGTTCAGTGACTTTCAACGTGGCACTGTCATAGGATGCCAATTTTCCAACAAGTCAGTTCGTCACATTTCTGCCCTGCTAGAGCTGCCCCGGTCAACTGTAAGTGCTGTTATTGTGAAATGGAAAGTCTAGGAGCAACAACGGCTCAGCCGCGAAGTTGTAGGCCACACAAGCTCACAGAATGGTATCGGTGAGTTCTGAAGCGCGTAGCGCGTAAAAATCGTCTGTCCTCGGGTTGCAACACTCACGACTGTGTTTCAAACTGCCTCTGGAAGCAACGTCAGCACAAGAATTGTTCGTCGGGAGCGTCATGAAATGGGTTTCCATGGCCAAGCAGCTGCACACAAGCCTAAGATCACCATGCGCAATGCCAAGCGGTGGCTGAAGTGGTGTTAAGCTTGCTGCCATTGGACTCTGGAGCAGTGGAAATGCTTTCTCTGTAGTGATGAATCACGCTTCACCATCTGGCAGTCCGACGGACGAATCTAGGTTTGGCGGATGCCAGGAGAACGGTACCTGCCCCAATGCATAGTGCCAACTGTAACGTTTGGTGGGGGAAAATAATGGTCTGGGGCTGTTTTTCATGGTTTGGGCTAGGCCCCTTAGTTCCAGTGAAGGGAAATCGTAATGTTACAGCATACA